AGTTTCAGCTAGTAAAAAAGATTTAGCCAACAGCTATTTCCCTCACGCAGGCTAGCAGCTCATGAACAAAACAGCTCCCCGAAGAGCAAGAACAGATTTCATTGAGGAACATGCTAATGAAAGCTGGATGAGTTTCCCTCATTAGGTGTAATTACCTTAGATTTTGCAGGCTGTCTTCTATGGGGTGTCCTTCCTGGCCGATGCGTTGAGACTAATTAAGAAACTGCGATGTGCTAAGTGCATAATTTCCAGCAGAGACCTTCTTTTCAGTGTCCTGGCTTTCCCGTTGTCCACAGTAAGTAACCTTTGTCTCTGTACATGAAAATAACATTTTGCATAAATGATTAAGGGTATATAGCATCACATGCATGTGTATAAAAGAGATAAGAACTAAGAGCTCTCTTTTAACCTTGAATTTGCAATGTATTTGGACCATATAGGAGAAGAAACAATACTGAGCCTGTCATGGTTGAAAGCAAAGCCTCTTGCACAAACCTTAGGGTTGTTGTCCTTGAGTGGACACAGGTTGACCCCAAAGGGTGAATGAGGTGTAACCTCTGTTAATCTCATGGTTCAAATAGCTGTGGATTTATTAACTTAGGCTTTTCTCTAAAGGGCAAGACAGGTCAGGAGGACATGAGGGGGTACATAAGACGCAGCAAAACCTCACATCTCCTTCTCTAAAGCCAGTGTGCCTTTAAATAAGCACTGGAGAGAAACAGATTCATGGAAAAATAGTCACAGCCTATGTCAGATTCACCATGCATCACCTACTCCCTCATAGACAATGCTGTTTATCAAAACTCCGTGGGTTGGACAGGAACTGATGAGTTATTTATACACGTAGGTGCACTCTGTGAGAGTGATGCCTGCAGCCACCTCTGAATCTCTAAGGGCTGAGAAGCACTGCTTAAACATGGTCTACAAGCAGCTCAGCTAGCTGGTTCAGTAAAAAAGTCCTGACAGGGATGGAGTCAGAGAGACTGGATAATTTATCTTCCCTGCACAGCAGTATTCACAATGCTGCTGTCATATCCCCCCAGGCATCCCCACTGTGCCAGCCAGAGAGAGGATCGATCTCCTTCTTCCAGCATCTCACACCCCTGATTTCCAACCCTAAGCACTAAGTGTGCTCAAATACAAAGCCAGGCCAAACAAAATGCAAATCAGCTTCCAGGTATCAGTAACTGATACCAGGGATCATTTCCTCCAGTTAAGTTCTCCCACTGTAAATCCTGCTCTGTTGGGAAATAAAAGGGGGGCCAAAGTACAGCTTTTACCTGCAGTTTCTGAATTAGGCTTGTGAAGATAAGGGTAAGACTATGTGAACTGTCTTACTAAGATCTGATTTTACTTTGTTACTGAGCAAAATACAAGTTTGACAGACAGTCCCTTGAGGAGAACTTCTAGACCATCAAAAGATCCCATCTGCAAAGGGAAAGGGAAAGGAAAAAAAAAAAAAGCAGCAGCTAATCTTGGATTCCACAGAAAATGTCAGTGTTGGCACTTTATAAAGGAGTTTTTTTCTCCCAGTATCAACACAGAACACAGCATCTCAGAGTAAATGCGAGATAACATGAGTTTATCTGGCAGTGTCATCATTTTTCATGTAGAAAATGTTTTGCCTTCTCAGAAATGAAAGCACTAACCAAATCCTATCCTAATTATGTTTGTCTTTTTAAAATTTCTTTTATTTTGCGTTCTGGTTCCAGTTTGTGTGTATATCCTTTTGGACACTGTATTCCTACAATCGAGAGCTGGTTTACCCCAAAAGCCTTGATAGAGTGATCCCGTTCTGGTTAAACCACGCTATGGTGAGTAAGAAACACTTCGGCCTCTTGCAGGGAGGAGGGAGACTTTGCAACGTGTGTCCCACCATTGCACTGTGTCACTTTCCAGAAGAGTTTCACAGCTTCTTCTTTCTCACCTCCTCCTTCCTGCTTGTCTGAATCTGATGTTGAGCTGTACGCAGCAAGCAGATGCATGTGCTTGAAGCTGCCTCGTGAAGCCTTTTATCACACAAGGAACGTCAGTGAATTGGTGCTTGTCAAACCTCTGAAGTCAATGAAAGGATGTGTAGTCATAAGGAAAAAAAAAGTCTCACTTATTGTAGCTCAAGGAAGAAATTGTCTCTGCTAACAGAAGTCTCTAAGATACAAAATGACTGGGAGTATAACAAAGCACCTCTTAATTTTTTAAAGAAGGGGAAATAACCAAAGAAAATCTGACAGGTCTATAGCTAATAAGCTATTGTGTGCACAGCTTTGAATAGCTGGATTGCAATGATTGTTTACAGATTTTCTGTAAATACTTTCCAGATTTCTCCTTCATTTGCTCTGGCCGTTTTTATGATGTGTTGAATAATCACATATTTCTCATCAGTCAAGTGTAAGGAGGCTGACAGTAACATAGAAACTGTGGGTGGATTGCGAGGTCAGGGAGGCCTCATGGGGCTAATGGGAAGGGGGAGAGAAGGGAGAGGTTCAGTGCTAGGCTGAATCAGAGGAGCCAAAAAGTATGAAATAATCACATAGAAGACTCATTTCTCTCCAGACTTAATTTCTTAAGAATAGCGCTCTGCAACCCACTGCAGAAGTTCCTGATGAGTGTTGGAGGTAAATGTGGGAGGTTTTGGGGTGTCTGGCTGGGGACAGTTGCTGGAGGTTTGAGCAGCCACTTGATTTAGACAGGCATATTCAGAAATGTGTGACTGGAATCCAAACATACATAGGCATGTCCGCATTGCTGATACCCGAGTGATAAACCACAGCCATCATCCACTTTTAACCTCATCACTGGCTCTCTGTCCACCAAGTCATTTCAACTGGGGCCTTTTTGTGGCTGTCCAAACCTCTGTGAAAGGGTGCAAAAGGGCACCTCTCTCTCTAAAACCGTCATCCACAAAAATGTAAGATTCTTCCTGTCCTCAGCATCATTCTGGTTTCAGGGCCAGAATGCAGTATGGGCAACAGGTTTAAAATCTTCACAGTGGTGAAGGTGCTGGGGAAGGGGAGGGTACATAGTGGAGCTGAGAGGATATAGGCTTTGCTGCTTGTTTTAATCCCAGCACACAGCTGAGAATTTGCCCTTTCCATTTCCACATTTGTTTATGACATGAGAAGGTTGAGAGGCACTAGGGCACACATTTTTATTTCATGTGCAAGAACTCTTTGCAGGAATCGCTCAAACATATTAGTTATAACTTCTGTCTTACCCTACCTACACCTACATTTCATAACAGAGTCATTCTGACAACAACAAAAAGCTTTTCCTTATCAAAAATGTCAAAAACAGGTGATAAAAAAGCAAAAACAATTCTTCCTGAAAATTATTTTGACGAGAGAGAAACTTCACATAAAGCGAACCTCTATCACAACCTAGTATTTTATTTCTAAAGCTCTTAATACACTGCAGACATCTTGTACTTGACAGTTCCTGGGCGGGAAATTTTCCTTCCATTCAATATCAAGTGTAAAACATCTGCCACCAGCATAAGACTGATCCCTGTTAGTGACAATCCTCGTGTTTTGGCACACCTTCCAACAGGTGCCTTCAGGCTTAGCTGAGGCATTTCTTTCTTGCAACACTATCACTGGAAACAGTAGGGAGCTGCAGGGAGATACCAACACTTTAAGGGACAATCTCCAAGTTCTGATTGCCAAGCCGACACTTTTCCTGTTCATTTCCTTGCACGTTGCTATACATTATGGCTCTGAGATTCCAGACATTTCGTGGCAGATTGAGGCAGCATGTAGCTGACTTTGGTCGAAAAAGACACTGGTGTATCAGAAGTAAGTGTCAGTGCCATATAATTTGCAGTGGGAGTACTTTTTTTTTTAAATCTTGGTCTATTTTAATATTGTAAATAGAGAAGGCATATGTTGTTATGCAACTGTAGGATAACCACACAAAATCACTTCAGGAATACTGAGCTGCTTGTGGTGATGCTGCAGCACCTTCCTTGCAAAAATGAACTGGCTATTTTTTTCCCTCACATGGACTGGTCTTACAGTGGGAAAGTGTTGTTTCCCACCAGGTAGCCTAGAGCTGTGGAGAGAGCACTACACTTTGGGCATGTTTTTGCAGTCTGAGCAGAAATGTCCTCTGTTTTGCAGAAAGGATGGCCAATGGAGAAAGGAATTTTGCTAATATTTGAAGGAGGCCAAATATTCCAGACTATCTGGGTTTCTCTCTTTGCTTTTCTACTGAGTTTAATCCAAAGGCTGAGCCTCAGTTTCCACTCCTGTTTACCTGTAATAATTATGTTTTACAATCTTTATACAAAACTTTGAGCTTCTTGGATGAAAAAAACCCTACCCTGCTTATGTCTCAAGCACAATTATTTTACTTGAACAAGACTTTTGAAGTGGAAGATGGCTGAGACAAAAGATATGCTGGCCAATTTCTCAAGTGAATTTGTTTATTTCTTTCCCAGTCATCTCTTTCCAAGCAACATCTGGATACCCTCCAGAAGGCGACTAACTGCTGGAGACAGCTTGTATTAGACCACATGCATGTATTATTTAACTTCATGGCAGTATTGGGGAATGCTACATTTTGAAGGATCTGACAGAACCGAACGCTAAACAAAGGGGGATGATGGTGGTTCAGAAGACGTAACTCAAAGACATTTTAATCTATAGCAAAAAATACACATCAACCTCGACCAGATGTGTTCACAAAAAATATTAGTGGTAGAATTACCTTTTTATTAAAAAAAAAAAGTTTATACTTTGAGTCTATAGGGCACAGTTCTTGTAAAAACCAAAATTTTCTCTATTTTCAGGCTGCAGCTAAGTTTAGTTCAGCCATCTTTTTTCCTAATTTGCTCTTTGGCCGTGTTACCCTCTCACCTTTACAGAAATCAGCATTTTAGTGTCCCGGGCACTTTACTGGCGCATTGTTGTGAATAGTGCATGTTCAGAAGACTTTGTAAGCTAAAAAGTTGAGAACAGAAAAGGAGGGATGGTAAATGGAGGCACAGAAGAAACATGTCTTACCTGGTAGACTTTCAGCAAAGATGACAGCAGAGCCTGCGTGGCCTGAGCCTGTGGAGCTCCTTTGCACCTTGCCGTGATGTAGCTAAGCTGTATCTCAGTGTATAAAAGAAAATGCAAGGGAGTGAGAGAACAAGCTGTGTGCATACAATTTTCCTTCACTGAAGCAAGCCACTGGTGCCCTGACAGTAAGAGTACCAGCAATACTAACAATGTTCCCTCTCATCTTGGAACTTTTTGATATATACAAGCTGCTTGCGTTCTGCCTAAATAGCTAAGCCTTACCTTCCCCAGTGTGTACACAGCTACATCAACAGAAACGGTATTTTGGATCAGTGTGGTTTACTTCCATCTGGAAAATAATAACTTCTATGAATATAAATTACTCTTACTCTCCTGTGAGTTTATCTGTGGGAAGGATTATATCTTACCACAGCAATTTTAGGAAGCTGCTGCATCACTAACCAAAAAAGGGGGTGCAAAACAAGTTTGTAAAGCAAAACCCACTTGTTCAGGCCACTCTAACTGGACCACTATCCAGGTGTGTACTCAAGAACAATCTCAGGTTCATATTTGAAAATCTTAAATGATTCTCTTTGCAAGTGGTATTTAATGCTTAATAATTCTTGCATATTTATACAAGAGAGAAACATTTCCATTTGCTTGCATTTCACAGTATCTCGATTTTAAGCTGTCTGGCAGCTATGGACATTCATAGGCTTCCAACCACATTCAGCTTTTGGCAAAGAAGAATGTGTGTGTGAGGGATATGGCACACAAAATTAATCACCCCACACATTTAAGAGCAAAGATGCTTAGCTTTTCCAAGCACTACATAGATTTTTTTTTTTTTTGAAGTTCCCATTTTTGTTGACATAAGCCCATTTCCTCAGGGAGAAAGTATGTGTTTCACAGACAAATGTTATGGCAGGGAATCCTCCCGGGCTGCTGCTACCCCAGCATGCACAGGTGCAGCCTCTGTAACCCACCCTGCAAAGGAACAGCTGGAGACAAATATTCCACAGCAAAGGATGTGTCACTTTAGTCTTATGTCAGCCTCCAGCTGCAATACAACATCAGTTTCTTAGACTGCATATCTAATGTCAGGGTGAAACACAATTAAAATTCTGGCATTGACATTTAGATGAAACATTTGCTAGTAAGCAATAGGATATTCAGCCAGGGCCTTATTCCCAAAAATGCATGCATGCAGGAAAGAAACTCTGTCTCTGAAACTCTTTTACCTTTGATCATACTATTGGTCTGATGTTTCATCCATTTTTCACAAAAAGGATGCGAAACTACCTACATGTCTAAGAAAAAAAATTAAATCATGTGGCTTTTCAGATGAGCATGAATCGACCTGGAAGGGGCAGAAACAGAGTAGCTGATGGTTCAGAGAGGAGTGCTGCTGGAATTAAATTGAGCAACAGCTTCCTGGCTAATCTGCCACCACACCTGCTCAGTAACAGGACTCCCTGTGCCTTCCGCTCTATCCATAAAATAAATCTGTGTTTCCCTGAAAATGCACTGATGGATGAGAAGATAAAAGACGTAGTAACTCTAAGAGAGAATTATTTCTTTAACTAAACATGGCAATGTACTAGTTAAAGAAATAAAATGAACAATAATGCTTAAGCCATTTCCACTCTGAAAATTAAAGAGAGGTTAAGAGAGGAAGAAAAATGTATAAGGATATATTGGAAAAGAAAATTTTGAAGGAAGCATTTGAATGAAGGCAAAATAATAACAAAGTAAGTCAAAAGAAGGGATTTGTTTCAAAATTAGGCCAAAAAAGGAGAGAGCATAAAGAGATTCAGAAAATTATGAGTATTAAACTAAACAGAGGTCATGGTGACAGGAAGCCATTTAGTTTTATTATGCTCAGATAACACAGGCTGTGTTTATGAAAGCATCCGACTGAAGGAAATTTCCATAGACATTTCCCAACAAAGAGCTGAATATCTGAGTAAACACCTCAAGGGTCAACCAATGAACACAGGCTTACAAGCCTCATAAGGCAGCACCAAAGCGGGGTTTTTGCTTTTTCTTTGCAGCAACATACCGACAGAGAAGATAGAAGCATGAGTATTGGCCACGAGTGGTTGTCAGCACACAAGCCCTGTGGGGAATTTGTCTGAAAGGAGAAACACGGGCAGTTTTTCAAAAGCGCTTGACGGTCTCCAACTGTGCCCAGTGGAGTTTAGTTTGGCCAGGGGTAACTGTTTGTGAAGAAATCCCTCCCTAAAGTCTCACATGTTAATGGAAAGCAGACATGGAGGGTATGTAAATGCAGACAAATTAGAAACAAACAGCTATGGTCAACCGAGGCATCATTTCCTTCACTCTGGAGTCAAACAAGGTCAAACCAAGTCAACTGCAACACACGCGTTAGGCATATGAGTGATCTCAGCAGCTCTGGGGAGATTATTCACGGGCTCAAAACTCAGCCTAGGCTGGAGCCTGCAGCTGAACACAAACTCTACCCAACCCTGTCTTCTCAACCCCAGGAAACTTGCTTTTATTCGTATTCTCAACGGCAAAACGAGGATATAGCATTAAATAAACACACAAATTACTCAAAAACATGGGAAGTGAAAAATCCATACGGACTTACCAAACAGTGGAAAAAATATTCCGAGAGGACTATTCATCTCAGTTTAAACTCATGAACCTGAAACGTGTCCTGGGAAACATACAACACAGGGTAGGAAACAAAAAGTAAATAAGGAGAAGAATGTTCTTCTCTGCAGGAGATGAGTTAACGTGCCAATGTTTCAGATAAAGTTCAACATATGTTTAAGAAACTTTGTTCCTGCTGTATTCACATACCAGAGTTTATGAGCAACAAAAAGAAATTTGCCATTTTTTAACTAGTTCATATTAACCTGAGTTTGTAAGGGAAGAAGCAAAGAACCCAAATACAAGTTAAAAATCATAATAACTGCCAAAAAGAGACACAAAAGATTTTAAAATTGAATGTTTGGAAGCAGAATTCAGATTAAAAGTGTGATTAGTGAACCAAATACCTCTGATAATTTTGAAAGTCCCATAACTTTTATCTCTTCATTATAGAAATATATAAAAAACCCCCAGTTTTAAAAATACTTCTGCTCTTGCAAAATTTGTAAGCTGAAAGCTTTCCTCAGCAAACAGAGGTTGTTAGACAAGTAAATACATTAATATTTCAAAAAAATTAAAAATAAGTACTAACGGGATTCCTGCCAAGAGTCAAAAAAAGCTCTCTGATTCACTTTGGTTCATTGATAGCCTGATCAGTACACACAGTTATTGTTTTAGCTTGTTTTCCTTACTTTGGAGTGAAATAGGTTTTTTTCTCCCTCTGTGGTAATTATTTTTGACAGTTTCACTGTTTATATGTGAAACTGAGAAACTGTTAATTGAAATAAAAAATGAGTCACTGTTTCCAGCAATTTTTGCCAATATTTTGATCTATGTCAATCTGAGCTTAATTATTAAGTTTTCTTTAAAGGAAGAGACAAAATTGTATATTTTAATTTGGCCCCATACAAACACTGCACTGAGTGCAGTCAGTTTAAGGATATGAAACTCAGCTAAATAGGGTTGAAAATGCATTTAATGACTATGCACTAGAGACCTATGGTTAAAAATAACTTGAATGAGAAAATACTTTTTTTTTTTTTTTTATTGAGAAGGATATGAGAAGCCTTTAAAGCCTTTCAACAGATATGATTAACCATGATATATGGTCTATCACTAATGATGTTGCCAAAGTCAACGTCTCTCTGCTGTGGGAGGGAAATCGTGTGGAAATCCAACTGTGTGTCGTAGGCAAAGGGCAGGCTTTGCACCCTGTAGCCATCCTCACGTTCCTCTGGTGTCTGCTGTACAAATACAAATCTGCTGTCATAAACATGCTCGGACATTCGACAGAAATTCCTCTGCGATTTTACTGTTAAAGGACAAATTTGGCTTGGAGGAAATACATAAAACCACCAGTGGACTCTGGGACAGCAGAAATGCAAGAGAAGAATTTCCCACATGGTTACTGGCCTGGGGTGTACGTGTACATGAGAAGGAATTGTGAACAAAAAGAAAAATGCTTTATATCCACAAAGGAAAAAAATGATAAATGAATTCAGGAATCACTTGACCTATGTGATCAACTAAGAGGGTTGTAGAGCTGAAGAATAGCTTTGTGAAATAGAATAGAAGGAAATCCCAATGCCAGTGAGTGAGAGAAACTGGATCATCAAATAAATCTTTTCTATCTCTTTTCTCTGAAAAATTATAATGAAGGTGAAAGTGTTATTTTGATAGTAGGACAGCCAGGTATGAATAGCAGCTCCCGAGGGTGCTGAGAGGGCTGAAGGAGGACATGCAGCTTCCAGGGAGTTGATACCTGGTAGCAGCAGACAAAAATAAATGTCTGTGTCTTAAACAAATAGGTAAAGACTGTTTTCATGCATGCTATATATAGCTCTATGTGCATTTAAAGAATTTAATGTGTATTTGTGACAACTTATACTATAAATATACAGCATTTAAACTTTGACACCATACTATCATGTCATATACTCAGCACAGTCTCTAACAGATACATATATTGAAAGTGTTAGAACCATTTCTTTGGGACAAGAGGAAACTTCATACCATACATCCAGCAGGTTGTGCCTTTAGGGAAAAATACTAAAGAAATCCTTATGTTCGTGGGTTTTCTGCTTAAAAATCTATCTTTCTCTGTTGCCTCCTCCCATACCTCCCCCTGTCTACCCATGAAAATATCTCCTTAATTAATAGGAATTTAACCACCTAGTCAGCTACAGCTGTTGCTGTAGTTTTCTCCTGTTTCATCTCATTGACTGTTTTTGCTGTGTTGTTCCTCATCATTATTTAAGACATCTCTTCTAGGTATTGCAACTCGAAGTTTTTTGCTTGCACAGGAGTATTACCAAACTTCCAGTAGAGAAATTTCACGAAAACAAATTATTTTCTGAAATTGGTACAAATCAGTCAAAGAGTTAAGGCATTAGCATCCCAAGAGCCCCTACATTGTCCATTCAACATCTGAGCCCAGGAGGCTTTTTGCTGTTCTTCCAACATCCCCCCCTCCTCTTGGAGGCAGCTCCTCACCACAAAACAGTCAGTGCCACCAAAGTGTCTGCACAGTGCTGAAAATCCTCCGTGCTCAGACAGTTATCATGAAAGTCCTTGAAACTCAATCTACTTAATACAATACAAACTTTGACCAACAAAAAAAAAAAAGAGAGAGAGAAAGAAGAAAAACACGCTTCTCCAGCAAGCTGACTCCTTTCTAACTCTTGAATAAGCTTGTATGAAGTTCCTTCATCATCTTCAATCACAGCTAACTGAAATCCTCTGTATGTTTACCACCCCATTTTTCAGTTTACAAAGAGAAGCACAACACACTGCAATTGCACTGGAATAAGTAATAAATGACAATATATAAAATACAATAATGACTTGAAGAGAACAAGAAGGCAATTCAACAATTGCTTAACGAGTTCAAGGAGCAGACTTTTTACATCTTCAGGTGCACATTACAATGGAGTTCAATAATTTTTTACTCTAGTGGGAATTGAGAAAAAATTATTGCATTGCAAAATGCAAAAGGAGAGATCACCTATTATGAAGTAACACAGATCATGCTACAGGCAAACCTAATTACGTTACCTTTGACATCATATTAACAAGAAAATTTTTGTGCTCAATGCTGTAGGGGTACTTCTTCACTATGAAAAAAACCAAGTATGTGCATTTGTATACAATTATACACAGTATTGTTAAATAATCCTTTGCTTATGGGCAGGTGCTTGAGTTTTGGGATCAGCAATAACTGAAGGTGAGGCACTGCAATGGGTTAGTGACAGACTCTCTTTTTTCCTCAGCACACGGCTGTATTGCCATTCGCTCTCCTGGAAATCCTTGCCTTGCCACACCGATACCCAGCAAAGAGGAAGGGATTGATTCTACTGGGATTTGTCGCTTTTCTGTATATCAGTTGGTAAGAATTATGTATTTTAAAACATTTTCCTCAAGTGGTTTACTTTGTAAAACAAGGCCATTTGCTGTACTTAGATAGAAGTTCTCGCTCAGGTACATGGAAGACAACAGTCTGTTCTGTGGAGAAATCATTTAAACTTCAGCTGAGACCCATGGAAACTATTTCCAGGTGTAGGTAGAGCAGGTTTCTTCAAACACAATACAGATACTGAGACCTGACATAGTATCTCCTGCTCTTCTAAGGCCTCTTACAGAAAAACAACTGAATTGCCATAAACTCCAAGTATTATGAGTTATTTCAGCTGGGCTGGAATTTTTATTTCAATCGTACCATCAAATTTACCTCCACTCACTCTCTTACTCACTACAAAAACACCAGATCTCAAAAGGTCTGGAGGTCATGGAAGCAGGAGAGGAGTAAAACTGGATTTGGTATTTGGCAGGGACACACAGCCAGGTTTATAAACTTGAGACAGAAAATGATACTGAGAGCCAGATGAGTTGGGTACCAAGGAGGCGTCTGCCCCACTAGCACCTCCCACTCTACCCATGGACACCACCTACATTTCCAACAATGTACCACAGCTGATCCCCAACCTGCTGGACAACGATCTTGAGAGAATAAACTTCTCTAATCAGCATGCCCACTCCAGCCCATAGCCAGCTGTGTACCTCCTGCGTGGGTGTGTCAAGCACCCTTAGAGCTGGGTTTGCATCTGCTCCTGCTTGTTGCAGCACCAGGGTCTGTAGGCACTGCCACTCCATATACTATGGTCAGCTGCCAACTCTTCAAAACACTCTGAGGATGCCTTATGTTGGGACTCTGCTCAGGAAGGGGTCTGTATGATTTTCAGATATGCTGTGATATCACTTTCCAGAGCTGAGGAAACATCCGGGCCTTAGGGTAGGGGATACAGAACAACTTGTATAACAATAAGAGGATACAGGTCAGCAGGGAAGGGACCTGTCCTCATGCAAAGATTTCTGAGAAGTCACTGGGACTGTGAGGGAACCCATCCTTCCCATTCCTACCTACCAGTTCTCACTATCAGCTGGAGACTACTTTCAGCCCACTGAATGAAAATTTAGAATAGAAAATGAACTGCACAGACGAAAGTCACACCTGTGACTTGAAACCCATCAGAGTCTGTAGAAGAGAGACTGTGGAACCAGGGGACTTCACTGTTACCTTACATAAGCAAATTAGGAGCCATTTATCCTAATCCAGCCCAGAGCCTAATAGGATTACAGCCACGGCTTCCTAAATTCCTTTTCTATGTTCTCATTTACCCAGTTGCTTAACACCAGCTTTGTTTTGCTTGTCTTCTGACATTTGAGTTTTGCTGTCTTTGAGACCAGACTGCTCTTCTAGCAACTAGTGCAGCCATGTGTGCCATGCCTTCCCCTCTATTTCCTATCACCTGAGTAATTTCACCCTTGAGGAGACACAGCTCATATCAGGATCTGAATTCACACCAAAGGATGAGGATCAACACAAACATCAACACAACTGAGGCCTCCCAGTATCTTCCGTGTGTTGGTGCTACATGGTGCTGCCAGGGTCCCGAGTGGAAGGTGGTACTTAGAATGCTTGGCCCCTGTGTCCCAGGGCCCTGATGACTGGATAAAAATATTAGGATTTCAATACTGCTCCCAAGTCAGCAAGGAACCTCCCGTCTGCTTTCTTCTGGCCTCCTCTACTTGATTCCCCGCAACCACAGACAACATCTTTCAACTAACAGAAAGAATTTCAGGCCTGTGCACTGGAATCTTAACACAGGTACATATTTTACTGTTGGTGCTGCAACCTGGTAATTTAATAGCCCCATTGAGGCACTGTATGTTTCACAAGCAACAGAGTCCTTCCTAAAAGCCTCTCCTTGAACTGTCACTGTCATCGCTGCAGTGTTGATGGGCTGAGAGCTGGTCTCTGCAAGGTAGCAGGGACACTGAGCACTGGTGATGGCTTGCACCAGGCACCTGCCTCTGAGCAGGGTTTCACTGTAGTTTTGAACACCCTGCATAGTCATTTATTTGCGTTTGAGAGCACAGGTTGGAGTGCTTCATATGAGACACACCAGCTGGCCAAATTGCATCCAGATAATCTAGCTTCTCATTATATAAAATAAAGGCAGTTTTCACTCTCTGTTTTACAGTTTGAGACACAATACGGAAAGAGTAGTCCTGTGTAGTGAAGAACACATGCTGACATTTGCACAGGCTCCAGTTAGCACCTGGTCTTCAGTATTTCTGCTCAGCCTCTCAGTGGCCTTTTCTGAGGACTTTCATTTCTTTAATTACTTACGTGTTTCACAGCCCTGTTTGTTTGATGAAAGAACTTTAAATCATAAAAATGAGTCTCTATATTTAAACATTTCTGTGCTCAGTCCTGACAGCTCTACTACCAATCCCTTCCATTTCTCCACTCTATCCCTTTGATGAGGATTAGTAAATCTCAATTTACAGGCAAGGTAAAAATCCACCTTTTTTGTCATTTCTCTTTGAGGAGCGATGCTCAGCGTAAGGTAGCAGGCTGGTTGCCATCAGAAAGAGTGGTATTGCATTCCCATGTTAGTACTGATGGTGGAAAGTATGGTATTCACCTTATGTGTGGGGGTTTTTTAATCAAGAATTAAACCTTTTAGCACCTTTTGGACTCAAAGGTTTGTTTTAGGGAAGTGCTGCCCATTGTTAGAATGGCACAGTCTTACAACAGCCCTATTTCTTCCCTATTCTTTACATATTCAATACAAATATAAATAATTTTAGTCACAAAAATTGTATTTTTTCCTATATTTATTATATAAAGACCACTTTTATATTCTTAAGTTTGGGTGTTTTCTACCAACCACTCTTGTGAGCCATAAACAATGAGAATAATATCAATGAACTGACAGGCACTACAACATGTTTTCTGAGAGAAGAAAAAGGCAGAAAGAGAAGGCCTAAGTAGAAGAAAATAAACCCTATAAAGCAGGCATATTAATCTTCTTCCTTTTCCTTTGTTTCCAAACTATGTTTTACAAACAGTTCTGGCAAAAAGGAGTGAAGCAGCTACATCTGTTGCCTACCTACACATTCCTCCTCTCTTCCTCCTCTTGGGCCAAGAGAAAAGATGCTGGAGAATTGCCCTTGCCCTCTTGCCTCCTGAAAACTTCTTTCCACTCCTCAAAACAGTGGTCAACAGCAGCAGGACTGAGACAGGGAGAAACAGCACTGTGTCTCCACAGACCCTCGAGATCCGGACAGGGGCTGAAAAGCTGTTGTAACTAGAGAGCAAACACATGTGAGAGCTTATTTGAATAAGCCTCACTTAGCATATACAAGTGCACATCCCTGTTCAGGAGCATTTTGCTGTTTTAATGTTATTTTACTGCTGTTAATAGCCAATGCCACCAGGGTGACAGCAGAACATTTTGTTCATTTCAACCTCCACTGAAACCCATCTAATTTATCAGCAGCTTAAGTGTGCTTCACAGCAAATAGCCCAAGTGCTGAGGAGATGTATCGACAGCTGAGCTCATTTTCTCAGTATCAAGATTCTTTTGATAGCTTGGCCTTTTAGGACTTAGAAATTGTGAAGTGGTTCTTCTAACTGAATGGTCCTAACCAAAGGTAATTTCTCTTCTTCCTTGCCTAGGGTCCTGTGGATTTATTCTGTAACAGGAGAGTGGGTATATCCTCTCTTTGCTTTATTCAGCCCACCTGGACTAGCAGCCTTTTTTGCCGGTAGCCTTGCTGTCATCGTCTCTTTCTACAACTTTGGAGAGTTCCTCAACCGTATGATATGGGGTCAGTCCAAGTTTTGTTTATTACTTCTATCCATGTGAAAACAAACCTAAAATGAATTGCTGTGATTGCCTATGCGTGCAGGGAGAGGAAGGGGGCCCTAGTACCCTGGGGAGGGGTGATGGCATTTGGATGTCTGATGGCGATTGCCAGGTCCTGCCCACTTACTAACAAAGGAAGAACAAATCAGAGCAAGAATCCCAAATCTACCAGACAAAAGGCCAGGCCAGCTTTCTCAAATGGGGCTAAAGAAGCACCTCTTACAAACATAATCACTGTTTTTGAACTCCTACTCAAAAAAGGGTCCAGAGAAGCCATGTCTACCACGCTAAAACTCTTACACCTGCATCACATGGTGTTTATCAGACTGGGGAATAGCACTGTTTCCTGATAATTTATAGAAATGCATTACTGTATCCAAGCAAAAGATTCATAGCAGCAGCTCCATGAGTAAAACAGACCTTCAGGAAGTTTTACAAACTCTTGAGAATTTCCCCCTTCTGCTTTGGTAGTGGTATAACTGGTAGTGATTTAAGGAAAAAGAAAGCTTCCTTGAACAAGTGGGTAGTTGGGAAAAAATTCGTTTAGGAGGACACACTCAACAGTTGGAGGGAAGAAAGAACTGAGGAAACACCTTTGGGGGTTTGGCATTGAATATTATCATTATTGGTTTGTTACTGTTGTTATTGTTATAACATTGTTATATCATTATCTGTTTTGGTTTCCTCTTTCCTTTTTCATTCAAGATTAAGTTTTTGAGGATGAAAGTGTTTCTGTCAGGAAAATGTGTGTATTTTATTTAGGACAAATGTGTGAACATTTGCAATTTCTTAAACTGGCTTTCTGATGAAAGAAAAAACACTGCAAAAACACCTCTGAAAATAAATAAGACAACCTCCCTCTGTTCTCAGGGAACATTTGATGCCTGATCCATTTTGCAAAGTCTCACATGCCTGTCAAGCCAAAGTAGAGTGTCTGTAGCTAGTCTCTCACCATCCATACTCAGCTACCTAAAAGCAGCAGATTGACTTTCAAATGTGCTGAATAACCAACTTCACCGCTTGATACCTTTGCAAATAAGATGCTTGGTCTGCATGTCAACATTTGGAAATTCTGGCTGCATTCTATTCTGCATAAACTTGATAGGAATTGAGGATTGCTGGTAAATGAAAAGAGATTTGCAGCCTTTCTGCGCTAGCTCTGGTTTAAGATGTATCACATAAATAGTAACTATTACTAATCAAAGACCACATCATCACTACAGGGTGATGTGAGTCTTTATATGAGATATCTGATACATATAGGTATCAGATTGATTTTTTTCCATCTCAGAGTATAGTAATTTCAGGCCTAGAGTATGCCTGATGCATACACTGGAGATAATCAGAATTAAAATAATTTGATTCCCAATGTGTTAGTCAACTGTACAGAAGGTCATACCAAGTAGAAATCAAATTACCTGCAAAAACACATTTTGAACAGCTGACTGAATAAACTGGGGCAAGAACTCAACTTTTCTGTGCACACAGAAAGGCTGAAAAGCACCCCCATTTGTGGTAGCAAGAATGCAACCCCAGAGTAAACACAGCATACCTGATATTTTCCAACGATACGTGGTGTGCTCTTATGATCCCTGGAGGCCTCTTATGTGTGGTGGGTCTGCCTCTCCATGCATACTTGATATTTTTCGAAGGAGCCATAAAATCCTGGCCTTAACAATTACATGGTGTTTTCACCCATGTGCAAGATACTTCCCTTGAGCTACAGTTCCCCATGTTGGTGCAAAGTCTTTTTCCCAATTCATTTCCCAGCTGTGTCCACTCAAGAGAAGGGTAGGACTTCCTTAAGCTGGTGTTGATAACAAGGTCCCAATCAGCATTGAAGCACAGCCATGAGGAAACTATTCCAAATTACAATGTGCCAGATTCTTAATATGTTCCTGACTGAGACAAATCTTTGGCTCAGCACTGCCAGAATAAAAAGAGCTGCAAACTGAATGAAGACACAATTCCAACATACATTTGTTACCCCAGAAAAAATGGCTCCATAAACTTTTTTTCATCCTACCCTTTCCTCTCTTACCTTCCCATCAAAATAAGGCAGATGATGCAGTTAAAATGACCCTGCAGAAAACAAAACAAAACAAAAACCAACCTCCCCACACACACATAAAGTAAAACTATCTGTGGTGGTAGAGGACAGACCTCTTCATCTTTCTGTATTCTCTTCTCTGCCCACCTTCTCCCTTCCCAAAAAGTACACAGAAGGGCACTTTTGATCTCTCTTTTGCTTCCTGCTCAGTCCCCCAGAGGCACAGTTTGGGTTACAGAGCAATGCAACTATCCACTAGGTTCCTACAGATACATCTGAAAACACCTTCTTCAATAACCCCTGAAGCCACCGAGCAATTAGACCTGATGCCAGTGGGATCTGACCAGGCAGAACGCCTTGCCCTGGCTGCTGGCACCAGGATTCTCCACAAAGGAAAAAACTCCAGGGCTGTTGCTTCTTTTTCCTTCTTTCCCACTCAAAGGAAGAACAGTTGCTGAGTTTGTGCCCAGAGGTGTTTACTCGAGGGTGCAAGAAATAATTAACAAATAGCTCCAGCAGAGTGGCAAGCCTGATTTCCTTCTGGACTTACATCCTGTGGCAGACTATAGGCTGCAAATGAAGCTTGTCCCACAGCATAGTATGCTTCTTATGGACTCTTCCCCATTCCTTTATAACTCCAAGTCACTATTACATGTCCTAAAACCAGCTACATAAATATTTACTCTTTTTCACACTTAGTTAGTTCCAACTTATTCCAAAGACTATGGATGGCAGCTTTCAGCTTCAAGCAAGTAACTGTTAAAGCTATGTCCTGTGCTTGACCAAAAACATACAGTATCACTTCTGACAGCTAGAAAATCCAGGCTGTAGAATAATATAACTTTGTTTTTCCTTTTCAGAACAACCAAAAGGTGACAGACCCAAAATTAATTTTATTATTTATAGACAAACTGCTTCATACCGTATTGGAGGTTTTAAAAATGTATTATCTCTCATGTGCCTCTCCCTCCCCTTGCACAGTTGGATTGGTGGTAACTAAGGCAACCCAGCTGCACAGCCTGAGAGGCACAGAAAATAGTACCAGTAATGACTTCTTTTTGTTTTAAATCCCAGAGTTTCTAGAGTACAAGACCATGTTGAGCAATACAGAAACTCCAAAGAGGATAATTTGAAACAATGAGCTGATTCTTTTACTGCCATAAATTTACCTCAGCCAACAGTTTGGCTGCAGGGTCTGAGTATCAAAGATCAACCATGTGATAGCTTCTCCCATTCCTGATGGGTGGAAAACATCACACGGGCAACTGATCTCACATTGCTTTGACCAGTCAAACTGGAATCTTCAAAAATAAAGCAAAGTAGTGTTCCCTCAGTGCTCTTGTTGAGACAACCAGATCCTTGGGAGAAATTTGGATCTAAGTTCTCCACATCAGACAGAGCAACCTTTCAATTGAGATTTCTTCTCTAGAACCAGCATTTGAAGATGGAGCAGATTCATTTGTCTTCCAACACATCTGAAAAAAAAAAAAAAAACCACCTAAAAAACCTTCATCAGCTGCTTCATTTCAATACTTTGAAATGTAGGTGGAGAGAAGCTATAGCTAGCAACAACTACCTGCTCCACCAGTGATTGAAATGCCTCCTGAGAGGTACCAGGCAAACCCCTTGCAAGATTTTACAGCCACAAGGCCTCTACAAAGTCCAGAGGAATGCTTATCCCCAGGTGGTGGAACTGTCCTTTGGGAGAGAAACAAGGCAGAAAGAGAGGAGGGAGGGTGACTGTCAGAGCAGACAGCAGCTTCAACAGATCCTCCTGGATGTTTGCTGTATTCCAAAAGGGAAAGCTTTGGCCAGCAGCTGGCTGAGAAGCATCAGCAAGGGCAAAACCAAAATTAAAGATATTACAAAGCAAGGGATAAGGCAGCACAACAAGAATAAGCCATTGTTCTCAAGAAAAAGAGAAAACTTACGGTGGAGTAACTTTCTCATGCTCAGTGCACAGACAGATGTGCTGCTCCAGATCTTCCATGCGCTCTTGAATGTCCTGAGAAGACATTGCTGCATCATATTTATCTAAGGCTGAACTAAAGTTAGACAGCCATCTTCTCATTAATCTGGTTTTGCACTTCATTTTTTGAGTACTTTTGCATTAAATGCACTTTCCAGAAACATGTAACATATTTAGAAACTGATTATTTTCTCTGAGTTTTATTTTTGTATTTATGTGCTTTTGAAACCAAGCTCTCTTAATACCCCACAGCCAGCTATTAGGAAATCCAGCCTATGTGGCACTGCATAAATCTCTGCAGTGCAAGGCAATACTATAATAAGATTGAATTCTTGATGCTCTATTCTTCTGAGCAGCCCTTGAGACTGCAGAATCCCAAATGGTAAATAAAGGGATGCAAAGGGCGACTGTGTGGGGTATGAAGTTGTGTTACCAATGTACTAGTACAGGCTTATGAACAACAGTTTTTGCATGCATGTTAAAATGCTGATGAATTGCAGGTAGTTATGACTCTAGACAGCAGTTACATCCTGAGTTATTGCAGTATCCAGAAGAGATTCCTAAACTGAGACCCCTTTCCAGAAGATATCTTTATTTGTTGTATCATGCCTTAAAAAAAAAAAAAGAGTCCAGGTCTATCTATTCCTTTCAGTGAACAAATAATGTTTATATCAGTAACTTCACTATATTGCTGGTAATGAATGGAACTCAAATTTAAGAGGATTTAAATCCCAGAGTTTGCATTTATGAGTATTTACTTTGGTCTCATCCATTCTCCTATTTGTGCCACAAACCTGTGATGGCATATTTGTATCTTTCATCTTTGTCATTCCCCCAAGATGCAGTTTACCCCTCGGGTAGAGACAACTGGCTGTTTAAACGAAATCTGCACTATCTGTTACATGTCCTGGTCTTGGTGATAAGCTTATCTGATGATCCACTGGAGGCAGACCAGATTGGAAGCTCTGGCAACCCAGGGCTTATGATTTCGTCAGTGGAGGCCAGACATTAACAGGTGCTGGTTAACATGCTGGCCCTGTCCTAAGAGGCTATTTTTTTTCTGTGGTTTATTTTTTTTTCCTCCTCCATCTTAGAAATATCTGTTTAGTCTGTACAAAATACAGGATCATTTGGGAAGGAATAAGTGCCAAGATTCTGTTCCATATCAGGTCAATCACTAAACACTATGCAGGCTAGAGAGAAATAAAATGCAGCAATTAGTGTTTCAGAGCCTCAGAGGTCTATGTATATGGAAGGAGCATTTAAAAGAGAGTTACATGTGAGTGATGATCATCATCAGGGAAGAAGAGAGGCTGAGACAGTGTGTTGGGTAAGGTACCCAAATATATTTGATTATTGCCACATGGGGTGCCCCACAGTAGCACAACTGTTGCTTCAGAAAGCTGTGGGATTTCAGTAGGTCCTGTGCTGTCCTGACCAGCCATGAGAGGATTATTAATCTGCTGCCTTTTCAGATAAGCCTTATTTTTAAAGTTTTTCACATACTCTCACCCCAAGCTAGGTTTGTTTGGTGGCAGATCCTTTCTCCCACTGGCAAAGCACAATTATTCTCAATGGATGCAGCCCATGGTACATTTCAAATCATTCCTCAGTAGTTAAGTAATCCATTACTTGCTGGGGACATCCCAGGCTCATTTGACTTCTGCAGCACTTTAGCATTAGCAGCTGTTCCAAGACATGCACTCGTAGTTTACTCCCACTCCCAGATGGGTAGGGTTCCCTGGGGATGTTTGGAGGCTGGGGCCACGTTCATATCCTCCTCCTAATGGGCCTTCCCCCACCCTGTATATTTTCCCCTCCTGCCAAATAATATTTTCTCCTCTGTGTCCAAACAGGAGATTCAATAGTAATACTGGACCACAAGTGGAAAAGCAAGTGAATCTTTCTCTTGAAGCCAAACAGTCTCTCCATGCATGCTGAAGCCATGAAGTAGAGGAAAATAAATGCAGCTGTGATAAATCCTTTCTCCAATGCATTGCAGCTTCTGGTGAAGCCATTATGACATCAGACATATGGAAAACTGGTGGAAAGTATGAAATGTTTGCCTCTTACATGATAACTCTGAAACTGCTATGAATAAGAAAATTGTGTTCATCTGTTTACACAGATTTCTCATCTCTTGCACAATGTATGTGAGGATGTGTCCATGGTTAAAACTCGTCACTGCTAAATGCACTCCCTCATGAGCTTGGCACCACTCTGTGAAAGACCTGTGAAAGCAAGCCAACTCTTGTTTGGATTGCCCTTCGTCAAGTCTGGAAAAAATTAAGAGGAGAGATAATTTTAACAGTGCTGTGACTTCCAAGCTAGCTAGATAACAAATTGGGCTAACAAGGACTGTAATTAGAAATGTCTGCTCAGAAAGTTCACCATGAAGCCAAGTTCTCCTAACAAGAAACTTTCTGTAATATTAATATGCTTAATATCTCCCCTTCATTTTAACTGGAAATCTGAAGTCAACACTTTCTTCATTTTTCTTGGTTTCAGTTAATCTCCCAGCAAAAGTAACCTAATTATACTGACTGTATGATTGCTTTGACAGAAAGCACGTTAATTTAAAGTACTGTTTAACATAAAGCTGCCTGCCATATAATTACACTCCATTCACATGTTTACTAATCTTCCTCAATATAGTTGATTTCTGTTATTAGCCTCAACATTTTGTTAACATCTAAAACACTGGAGATCTGCTTTGCAAACTCCAATAAACAAGCAAACCTGACAGTACATAAGTGTTCCATAATGGTCAATGTGAAAAAGAAAAATCTTTGTTATTACTCTTGCATTTAAAGAGGATTTGAAACTAGTTGCAGTACTTAAATGTCTAACTCCATTCTCACTGCCAAAACCCTCACTTAGAGCTACTGTGTGCATGCAGTTCACCAGGGTGTTGTTTTCATCTTTCGAACGCTGATGGAGCTTAGTAAAAATGGAACACATTGTAAGCTGCCTGTGAGCAATAAAAAGATAATGTGTATACATAAGATTGTTCTTCTCATATGCTAAGCACCTGGTAAAAATTCTAATCTGGGAAGTTAACATACTAGGCCTAGACTGTAAACTAAGTTAACTCAATGAAAGACGTGCATGCATTCAGTATTTCCCAGCTTATCTAGATAACTCACTCCAGCTAACTTTGCAAGGGGAATGTAAACAATTACACGTCCCCACACACAAATACATTCCTCCCTCCTTTTCTGTTGAAGCTAAAGGAGAACATGGAAAGAATTCAGCTGGAAGATGCTGGTCGAAGGAAATATATTGGAGAGACAGAAGAAAAAACATGAAGGGAATTAGGAAAGAAGAGAAAGTACAGGTTTGCTGTGTACTTTTATCTCTCTTTTTTCCTTTTTTTTTTTAAGTTCTTTTATTTTGTACTGATAGTCCAGTACAAACAGTTTAAACGTCAGAAACTCAGTACAGTGTCTGGGCCCCAGAACAGATGGATAGGTCTTTCCACTTCCAACCAGAGGAGCTGAATGGCAGATCTCACTCTAAGCTCTTGCTCACACCACAGTACCTTTGGGATCTGGAGTGGTGACTCTGCTGCTGGACTACAGAGCATTTAAGGAGGATTTGAAACTAGGGCTTTGAGGAGAATCAGAGGGGAAGGTTGTTTCTTTCTTTGAAAAGGGCCCAGAAGAGGCACTGCTCTCTGCTACATCCTGTATGGACAGAAGGTGGATTCCAGTTGTGCACTTTGGGAAAGCAATCAGGAATGCCTCTCCACAGAACACAACTGCTGGGATCTTGGGTTTGTTTTGCTCCTTTCTCAGATGCCCTTGAAGCCCTGAAAGGAGGAAAGCACGTGTCATTGCTCACAGATCAACATTTTCCCTGTGATTTCCAAAAGGTGCTCTGAGTGAGGATCTGCACTTTACGACATTTATACCAGATTCCTCTTTCCAGTCCATTACCCTCTATCATTTTATTTTGAGTAAGTATGCAGTCAGTCAGAACTGTTTATTTATAGCTGTAGATTTTCATGGCTGTATAAATTAGATGTTATTACTGAATGAGATGCCCGCCCACTCACCCAGTGCAGCTGTACAGCAATCCTTTCATGCTGCTCCACAGTGCAGTCTCAATGGGGAGGGAAAGGATGTTCTCCCAGTCAGACGGAGGGACTGCTGCTTAAACCCTTGGGCGAAAAAACAGCAATTAATTTTTTCCACGGTGCAATCTGCAGTATGACAACCACAATTAACTAATACTACTTAGACCTGCCACTTGAATTTGGCAGAGAGAGAAAATGAAGGATTAAATTCACCTGAGGAGAAAAAAAACCCCACCTAAACTAGAACCTACCCCTGGACTTTTGTTTTATAAGATTAAGTGGTTTTACTTCGGAGGGAGTGAGGGGGATGGGAACAGTAAGGGGAGGTAAGAGCAAAATTGGTTGTTATTTGAGAGAGAGCACCGTCAGAAAACAGGGACTCATCCCATACACACACACACAGATGTCTCCAGCAGAAACAGCTGGATAGCAATATCCACCACCATTAGGAACTTTCATCTTAACTCACACCTTTGTAACAGTTTACTCCCACAAAAAGCATAGGCAAGTGCTACTTTATTCCCTCCCCTGTTTCCCACACAAATTTCTTGGTTTGGGTCCCTGCCAGAGCTTCAGGGTCACAATCTGACCTCAATAACATAATTTAGGATTGT